GAGTTTAAGAGTTTTAAGAGTTTAAGAGTTTTTAAGAGTTTTAACCAAATGCATTATAATATAGTATAGATATATGAATTATATTATTGCTTATATTCTCTAATAACAGTTTGATCCTCATCTTTTTTATGTTTTTTTTAGGAGCTCGAAACTGATCAAGTTCTAAAGCAATTGAAGTATATAGAGATGGTATGTTTTAGCATTCTGCATTTCCCTTGAAAGATGAAAATATTTGATACAAGACATATCATTTGGGCGTGTTCGATATGTGGACGGGACTGTACAGGACCGTTTAGAGTAAGGTGTACGGATGAGTAAGTGTGGAAGGTTTTAGGGTTTCAATTTGACATGGGTAGTTTAGTAATTTACCAATCTTGACTAATCTTTGTTTCACCAATTTTGGTGGGACAAAAATCAGTCTTGTTTTGTCCCAGTCCAATGTCGCGACAAATGTGGGACAACAGACACTTGTTTTTTGTTCTGTTCTGCTCTTCCCTCCTACATGCCAAACGCACCAAAGTTCATTTTCCATGCGCTCTGATGATGCAAGTTCTTTTTTCACACAAATGGCACTACAAACTCGACATGTTCATACTAAAGTCATCTATGATGTCAAGTTCTTAAAGCCATTTTATGTAAAAAAGCGACAATTTATTAACACGGTATTTAAAGTTATCGACTTATTTCATTTAATTTTTCAACACGGAATTCTCATCGTGCTTGTTTTTGTGTGCCATATAGTTGAGGCCGCGGCTCTCTGGGAAAAGGTGGAAGTTGGGAGTTAACAAAGGCATAGATCGACAAGAGCATACGAGAAATACACCAAAATCATAGGTTTCATGTTACGTTTATGCATATATTGTAGATTCTCGTAAGTTTACTGACCGAAAATTTTGCCATAACATTCGGCGTGATGATTAATCAAAGAGAACGTGCGACATCATTGATCAACAATGGACATGTTAACGAAGTGCGTACTTGAATAGAGTTCCCTTTTTTTCGTTTAGTCCATCTCGCTACAAATGCATAGCTAGAAAACGGTACATGCGGCTCCTAGAAATCGATAAAAAGTGTCGGGAAATCGAGTATAGAAACTTTTGCTACTTCTTTTGTGTCATTAGAGCCAATATATGGCAAATTTTTATCAAAATGAAACCAATTTTACTTTTGTTCTTATATTGTAGTTCAGAAAATCAACGACCATGGGACTACTGTCGTCGTCATACCTACCCACTCCTAGCCACCTGACCACCATCCCACCACTGTCGTTGTCACAACTATCACCCCGCCACCCATACCCACCGCCCCTAACCAAACCCCCAACCTCTACACCACCATTGTCACCTTCACAACAGGCACTCGCCCCTACCCTAACCTACCACTAAACATCATGACATTGTTGTTGTCGTCATACCTACCCACTCCCAGGCTCCAGCCACCCAATCACTATCCCATCACTATCATCGTCATAGCTACCACCCCGCCACCTACCCCTACCCACCGTCTTGTCCCAGCTCCATCTCTGCCCCACCTTACTCGACTCCAACCCACCCTACCCACCATCCTACCACTGTAGTCATCACAACTACCACCCTCTCACTCACTGTCCCACTCTCGCCCACCCCCACCTTCTCGCCCCACCCTGCCTGCCACTAACAACCCCCCTACCTATGGAGCAGGGATGGGGCAGGAGTGGTGGGGGGCAGGATTGGGGTGGTGAGGTTGGGTTGGGGCAGAGGCTGGATTGAGGTATGGTGATAGTTGTGACGATGACAATAGTGACATGGTGGTTGGGCGGGGCGATAGTCCAAACAAAGACGATTGTTTCATTTTTTTTTTGTTGAGAGATTTCATTCCAATTCCTACCAACCAAACGCGTGGTCAAATTCTATTTCAATTCTTTCAAAGTCAAATTTCTTTGATGGATTCCAGTTCCATCAAATTCCATTCTGTAAAGCGAACACCCCCTAACTTTTTTGAACAATTATTCCAAATAACCGAAATAACTTGGTGATCAAAATCTTGTTTTTTAAAATAGAAATGAATACAATAATATGTTGGGGGTTGTTTACCAAACGTTTACTTAATAAGCATAAACTGGTAAGGGATATGATCCTCACTTGCCTTATCATATAACATTATTAGGTCATCAAGATGGATTGCTGGTAAGCATTTATCAGGTAAGACTCTCGATCCTTGTCTTCCCTCTTATAGGATATGACTCTCAATCCTTGTTATATTCATCCAGTAAAATAATTAAACATACAAGTATTTAGTAAACCACTGTATTTTCTCTAATTTAGTTATAAAAAATATGCAGTTTTGAAATTTGGTTTTCAAAATGAGAAATCTTGAAACTTGGGTCTAGGTTTTAGAAGTTGGCTTTATATAATAAAAAATAGATTAATTTTCTTTATATACAATTTTGCTTTTGTCAATTTTATGTGTCCATATTCATTATATTTATAAGTTATTCATTATGACTGTTTGTGTTATTGATAAATATTATAAAAAATTCACGTCTATATCCATGATGAATTTGGACATCTGACACGCTTTATGTAGTTTTTATTTGAAGTATATAATATTTATATATGACAAATGCAACAAATAACTCATACATCATTCTCATTTTTGATGAGGTTTGAACTGTTGACATCTTTAAGAGGCTAAAAACTACGATATCGCTAAGACAAATGCCCTTTGGTATGCTTTTTGTCGTTTATCGGTTTTTAATGAAAAATGAAGTTTCTATAACAAAGTACCTACGATTTCTTTCTTTGGAATTGATCTTTTTGATATCGGATTGTTAACACAATTTTACATCAATTTTACATATACATCCTTAAATCTTTTACAGCGGACTGTATTTAATGGGTAGATGTGTAATTTAGAAGAAAAACCAGTCTTATTTTTCTTTCTTTTTCATCCTAAAAAAACTCGAGAACACAGAATTTCCCCTTCCTTTCCTTCTTTTTCCATCTCCTTCATAAAGAAAGACCCTTGTGACCACAAAAGTTCAAATACGATGACTTCGGGCTACCCACAAAATAAATGGTCGTCCTAAAATTAATCGACTCACGTAACAGGTTAGATATTTTAAGAGTTGATATCAAAGGTGGACCACCTAACATTTTCTTTTATTTAATACTATTTCCACTTATGAGAAAGTTAAGGTTGGGTTGGGCCACAATGCCAACCACATAAAAGAGTAGTGTGTCCTCAACTTTATTTTGTGTACTTGATTACAACTTTTTATTTAAAATGTATTTTAATTATCCAACATTACCACTTAATGAAAAGACATAGGATATGAAAACCACTCTTTATAATCAAAATTTAGATAGAGTTTATCAAATGTTTATTTGGGTAAGTGTTTACCAAGTCATATTATCTTACGGAAAGAATATGATAAAGATCGAAAATCTTATTTGGTAAGTGCTAAAGCAAAGACCAAGAGTCTTATCCGGTAAGTGATGATGATGATTCTTATTATGTTTAGCGCTTACAGGGTAAATTGTTGCATATGATATTCTTTTGGTGGACTAAGATCTTACTCGGTAAGTAAGTGATAATGTTTAATTTTGCTGATAAACACTTACCCAAATAAGCATTTGGTAAACGATGCCTTAAGACAGTTTAACACTATTGGAAGTTGTGCCGTTCAAAAAGGACTTTGAACTTGGACATGAAAGAAAATGTGTTTATAATAGCAAATCCAAGATTTTCATTCATGACATTATTATTATTATACCAGAACAGCTTTTCTTTAGCAGATGCACTATCACAACAGTATTTTAGCTCTTTTTTGAGGTGGGGATTATGGCAAGTCTATTGGGTCGAAACTTGGAGGAATCAGACCTTGTACTGGTTATGGTGGTAGAGTATAGTTCGAGAAGGGTCCTCTAACCCAATCTTGGCCATGACTCGTTTATTTCAGGTACATTTGTTTTGAGATCAGCTCTGACTAGACATAGATTAAGGTTTCAAACTTTAGACTCTTTATATCGACAAGTGCAAGGATAAATCTTTAATTTAATAAATTCTTATTGATGACAATCATTACAAAATCACTCTTAAACAGTATTTTTGAACTGAGTTCTTTAAATTTATAGTATCTTTTTTAGAGCATGTCAAGTCCAAAATAAATTACATTCAACTCTAACACCTTATCTGTATTGAAAATTACAACATAAATAATATCACTGAGAGTATCTTCAACATATTCTCCATATTTCCTCTAAAATAAAGCATAAAAAAATCAAAACCTTCTACAAATTACAATATTAATATCCAAAATCTCCAAATTCAGCTCCACCAGTTTTTCCATTTTTAAAATTAATATTATTAAAATATTAAATAAATTTAATAGAGTATATTATCTTTCTCCATTAAACATTTAATTTCAATGATTTTTATTGGTGGAATAATAATAAAATAATTTATTTTTCTAAAAAATCATTTTTTCAAATTTGAAGAATTTTGTATCTGATACTTTTTCCATTTTGAAGAATCTATGGAAGCTAAAAACTAGCACAAAATCTCAGTGTTCTCTTTTTTGGAGAATATGTTTAATAAATTACTATTTCTATTTTTTATATATTTAATTTCAAAAATCGGTGGTAAATCATTTCTCTCTTAAGCAATTATTTTTAGAGAGCTGTCCAAATTTAGAGAATTTGTTGTAGCAAAAATTTAATCTAATCTGTTGGAGATGCTCTTATTATCTGTCAAAAACATGATTTTTATCGATATAATCTTAATAAATTATTAAAAAATATATTATAAATTAACAATTTCCACCATCAAAATAATTTTAGTCTTAACTTAACTAAATGGTTGTTTGTTTACCTTTTAATAGTTCAATTAAGAGGTAGTATCAGAATCATTAAGAGGTGAATCTTGTTTGGCAAAAAAAAAGTCTGTTTCTTAATGGTTCTAAAACTCTCTGAATGATTTTGTATTCCGAGTCTCCTTTAACCATTAAGCGCCCTAATTTGATTGTAAACAATTACCAAACGATAATATTTCATTTTGCACTATATCGTGAGAGCTTCTTAGAGGGTGTTTGGGATTGCTTATTTGAAGCAACTTGTGCTTTTCTACAAAAACACTTATCAACTTATTATAAGTCAAAAGGGTTTAACTTCTTCAAAAACTCCTTATTATCGGTTTGGCACCGGTATAAGTTATTTATCCAAACATTCAAAAGTGCTTATTACCGGTGTCACACCAGAATAAGTCAATAAGTTGTTTTTATAAGCAATCCCAAACACCCCCTTAATCATTCTGACCACTTAATCATTTGGCATCAAACTATTCATCAACTGTCAAACAATCCCTAAGGTTTTAGTCTATCATAAGGTCCTTGGATTTCTATATACAGAAATAAGACTATTTAAGAATTAGAAATAATTTTTATTGATGACTAAAATAAAATGATTACAAAATTTAAAAACTAGTAAATAAATACTTGCAAGAACATAAATATATATATATATATATATATATATATATATATATATATATAAAACAATAACTAAGAAACAAAATGCTAAATAAAAATGATAACTCTTAATACTGAGTTGTTATATCTGTTTCATTTTCAGCTGTAAAAAATAAGTCATATCTCAAAAGAAAACTTCAAAAACTACCATTTACGTCCCAGAATCATCTTGCAGCATCGTCTACACCAATTTCACGACATATGGCTAAAATATGTAAAAATAACCATTGATCAGTACAATTTTGAACAGAGGTTGTTATTCATACCCTCTCACTCACGTACACCTAGTTCTTACCCCTTATAAAAAGTTCTTACGCTTCATTTTAACACCGTAACAGTAAAAAATTACATTGAAAAAAACTTTCCTTCAATTCCTCTTTTTACGGAAATAGTATAAGAAAATTAATTATTTATAACTTAAAAACACGTTTATCTTAATACCTAG